GAGGGGGGGGGTGGGGTGTGGGGGGGAATAATATACACTTAGGAATAGAAGGAATAATTGTAAGCAAACACTGGACTAGAGAAACAGGCATGGGGGGGCACATGTGACCCAAAGCTGCCAATTTTGTCCTAAGCAGACACACACCCCCTTTAGATTCTTAACTTGGGAAATCCATGTGTTTTAAAGCACTTTTTTCATCTAAACTACTGCTTTCCCACTGGGCAACTTCCAGAAAAGTGGATTTCATATTCCCAGAATTCCCTAGTCGGCAGGCCATTGCTAAGAATTCTGGGAGTTGAAGTCCACACAGCTGGAAGACGCCAGAGCTGGGAAACACAAGTCTAAATCTATCCAAAGTAGGAATGGCTAATGGGGAAGTTACCTTTTCCCGTTGTTCCATTGTGCTAAATGAGAAATCTCTGTTACCGCCGCCTTCTCCAGAACTAAAAATCCTCGAATAAATTGCCATTGTGTGATTGCTGTTCAGTCGGATGCCAGTGGATTTCTATTCTCAGCAGATCAGGGTTTCATAAGCATTTTGCTCTCAGGACCCTTTCCCCCTTTTAAAAATTACAGAAGACCCCAAAAGAGCTTTCGTTTGTATCGGTTACGCTGATCAGTATTTACTGTATTCAAAATTAAAATGGTCGCATTCGTTGAATATTTATGTATTGAATCATGCAAAAATAACCATATTAAACCTGTGAGATATTAACATAAATAAAATAGTGTTCATGAAAAAAAAACCTTTTTTTTTAACAAATAAAAAATGCAATAGTCCCTGGGTTAAGAACGCTCTGCTTAAGGACGATCCGTAGTTAAGAATGGAGCCTACTATAGCAAAATTTGACTTAAATACACAATGGTTTGAGTTCATTACACAATACTACCTCTACGGTATTATACAACAATACTGTTCTGGCTTACGTGCAAATTCGACTAAGGACAGACCTTGGGAACAGAACTCGTTCTTAAACTGAGGACTACCTGTAATAATGAGAAGAGTGACATTGTTTTAAATGTTTGCAAATATCTTCAATATCTGGCAAATCATTTTGATTTTGCGGATCCCTAAGAGGGTCTCGGGGGGGCCCCTAATGGTACTTGGATCCCCCATTAAGAAACATTGGACTAGATGTTCACGGCCCCGTCCTCTGTGCATTCTTTGCTTCTCGCTGTTTCAATCACCCCTGGAGGCGAGCAAGGTTTGAGAACCAGGTTCTGCGGCTGACGTTAGCCAGAGATGTGCAAAGGGATCAGAAGTGAGCCAAACCCAAGGCGTTCTTGAGAAAGTCATGGTTTGCAAGCCAATGTTTGGTTTGCAGTCTCTGCCCGGCGTCACTTGACAAAGTGGGCTTTGTTGCTTCAGGATGGAGGTCATCGTTTGAAACCGGCATGGAAAGGACCTTGTAGGCTTGGGTTTAACCCGAACTCAAGCGATCATGATTTGAGATACTCCACTAAGGATCATGTATGCATTGTGCTAAGCAATAATGTCGTGGTTGAGCTCCATATGAGTAACACCAAGTAAATGTTTTATTCTGGAAGTGCAGTTTTATATGGATTTATATTTGCTCTTTGGAAGTACAGTTGCAAGTTCAGTATCCGGTGTTCTGTTCAGGTCAAGCCTCAATGCTGGGTTTGTTCTGGATGAATAAAATGGGAACTGACTACAGGTTGCGTTTTGCAATGTGTTTCTCTGTTTGAGTAACTTTATTCTGTATTTTGGGGCCGGGGTGGGAAGATTTCTGCCTTGTGTTTTGAGCGGTGAACTCTCAATGGGGCGGAGAAACCTGCAGAAATGTCGCGCTTCCTCTAGCGGGGCTCCCCGAGAGATTCACAATGATTTTCGGCTCCCTTAATTGTTTCTGCAAGAGAAGAAGACATGGGGACAAGTGAGCCTTGGCGCTGCCTAATGCTGTAACCCTGGAAACATTTATGGAAGTGAGAAATATGTAGCTTGAAGGATGGTGTGTACAATCTTAAAATAAATGTGGTTATAAAAGGATGAGCTGTGCTCCGTCAGCAAGCTTTTAGATGACCTCCTAACCTTTCTTTGTAGGGTTTAGAGCTTTGCATCAGGTTCAAACCAGGATACCATGGCTTGTTCAACTAACCACGGTTGAAACAAACCTTGGCTTACTGTAATATGTGAACCCAGTCACTTGGTCACAATTGCTGCTTTTTTCTCACCCCTTATATATAAAAAAGTCAAGGTAGCCATCCAATATAACATTCCTTTTGCATGGCTTTTTGCATCATGCCCCAAATTTTGTAGTTATACAAAACCCCCAGTTTTGCACATTGTCATCAATTGTCGTCAGCATTGGGGAAATGTTGGTGACTTGAGAAAACAGAAGGTTTGTGTCAAACGATACCACCTTCTGAAGTCCGTCCTTCCTTCCTTCCTCCCTCCCTCCCTTCCTCTTTTCTTGATTTTTTTTTTTTAATACAGATTCAAAAACGACTTGTGGGAACTGGCAAGAGAATGTGGCCTTAGGTCTCCTTCTGTTTGGTCGGCTTTGGAAATTCTAGAGATGGAGGGACCTCTAGTGGTTCTGATCATATCTGAATTGGAAGGTGGAAGCCTGGAGCTGACTTACATTTAAGTAGGACCAGGAAGCCTCTGAATCAGAATGGAGTTGTTTACCTGGATGTAGAGAGTTTCCCAGGCACAGACAAACCTAAGACTGGTTCACTGGGGGCAAAGAAAGAAAATCAAACCATATTGATATGGAAAATACCGGAATGGTCTGTGTCTAGGAGAAGGAGATCTCCAATCCGAAAGAGGTTAAGAAGGTGTCTTGAAAGTGTAATTAAATATGTGATTAGCCATCCCAAGCTGTTTGGACAGTAGTGGGCTTGGGTGTTTGGTTCAGCTATGCTTCCATGGACAGCAGAACAACCACGATACAATCTGATGCCCTACTTGCAAGGCGTCTGATGGGCCATCTGGGAGCATCCTAAATTCATCAAGCTAATTGCGTGGATTAGAGAGGATAGCCCTCAACTCTCAGGAGTTCATCATCAGGCAGTTGGATAGAAAACAAGTAGAGAAAGGAAGTGTAATGTTTCTCTGTCCTCAGTAAGGTGGAATGGGCCTGCATGAAGCCTCTGGTCCATTCTGCCCCCGTGTGTGTTATTTGGTTTTAGGTGACGTGCACTTTCACCCCATAGCTCGCAAAATTTTAGTCTCATACTTGCATAGTTGATGAAATAAGGTAGTCCTCGACTTACGACCACAATTGGGACTGGAATTTCCATTGTTAAGCGATGCGGTCGTAAAATGAGACACGTGACCACATCACTTAGTGACAGCAATCCCACCACTCCCCGTTGCAGTCATTAAGCAAAAACAAAAGTATTTCTTCCATGGGCTTTTTCCCGCCTATGGTCAATCCAGCTATTCTGGCTTTGTTAACAACTGCGCTTTCCTAACATGCCCCCTCTTCCCTTACAGATCCCAAAGGATCCTTGGAAAAGCGCAAAGTTGGTAAGTTAGGTCTACGTTTAAAAAAAAAATAAAAATCCTCCACCACTGGAAATCACTCGCAATCTCTGAGAGTACAGCCAAAGTTCTTCATTTTTGGAACCTGTTTATCCCAGCTTTCTTTCAGTTGACAGGTATTCATCCTGCCCCCCTGTTTTCATCTTCTCAACAGCCCTGCAAGGTAGGCTGGGCTGTGAGACAGTGATGCCAATACAGCAAGAGCTGGAGTGGAAAGAATTTTGAATTAGATGGATGCTTCATAGCCTATCCATCGCTCTCCATTCATTCTCATAACCCTGATTCACTCAAGTGATTCGTTTAGGTTGGATTTGGCACATGATGTGAACTCAGCCGCTGTGTGTGTGTTTTTAGTAAGCCACAATTGGACAAGCTATACTTTAGCACCTTAGATGAGCAGAAGCCTTGTACACTCAAGCAGGTTTTTTTTTTTTTTTTTTAAAGTGTCCTCTTTCTTCTAGGAACCAAGAAGAAAAGGCCCCCCATTTTAAGAATGCCATCGGTGAACAAGCAGTCATCTGTCCCTCCAACGTAAGATCTGTTCCACCTCTTTGGCAGATTCCTGCCAAGTAAAAGCTAAAAGTAGTTTGGCTGAAGACCATTTTAAATTGAAGCATTGTCCCCAAGATGCTGAAAGATGTGTGAGAAGCAATTCCGTTAATACTTCCCGAAAGAGAGAAAACCAGAACTTTACCCAATGAGTAAAATTGGGTTCTCCGGACCCCCTCCGTTTCGCAGACTGCAGATGGAAGGGAGAAAATGTTATTTCAGGCTTCGACCCTCCCAAAGTCCGTTGTTTCTGAATCCGTCTGGACAATTGCGTAATTTATGTCGTTGGCATCCGATGATATAATGAGATAATTGATGTTTTCACGTCATTTGCCTCAATTTATGTCGCTTGCCTGGTTACGTAATTGATGTCAATGACCTGGTAGCCCAAATGATATAAACCTGGGCAACTGATGTGAGTATTTCAATTGCACGATCCCCCGAAGGGCACCGGTTACGCCCATTTGGATTTAACAGACACTCTGCCCCCCGAACAGTCTGTTAAATTGAGGTTTTGCTGTAAGGTAAGAACACGAGAAAGGATGAATTGCCGCTTCACCTTGGGCTGTTGCTGATCGATCAGCTAAAGCTGCAACTTGATTGAATCCCTTTTTAGCTTGTTACCTTTTTCCGTGCTAGAGCAGTGTTTCTCAACCTGGGCCGCTTTAAGATGAGTGGACTTCAACTCCCA